AAAAAATGCGTACAATAATACATTTTAAAAATATCAAACTAATCATGAAAAATAATATTTAAAAATTTTAATATATTTTTATACATTTTTCAAATAATTTAAAATTATACCGAAACGCTTATAATATAATTTTTTTATAATGAGAGGCATCTTCGTCATCATCATCATCATCATCGCAATCTTCATTTTGCTTGTCATCATTTCAAAATGATGAATGGTCGCGAGCCATTACAAACGCCTTACAATGCCGATACGATCTTTTGAAAGACGTTAACCAGGTCAAGCCACTCAATCATTAAATAGGTCAGACCAAATATATTTATCGATGCCTGAAAAATATTTCCTATAAAGAGTGATGGGAAATTTGCAATGTTGTTGTGGAGGGCATCAACGCTCCGAGGAGGAAAGCTTAATGTGATGCGGAGAGTTCTTGATGTAGCCGCCACTAATAAAAGTATTTCATACTTATATAATAAGGAAGTTCCATTTATTTTTTTTTTGTTTCTGGATTTTATTGGGAATAATAGTTTACAAAACTATTTGTTACATCAAAAAGTTTACAGTTGCATGTTTGGGTAAATGATGAGTTCTTTTTACCAATTGATATCCTTAATTTTTTTTACAACCAAAAAAAATTAATTTGACTGGTTGCGCGTAGTTCAAATGAAAAAAAATGGTGATGAAAAAATGGTGATGAAAAAATGCTGAAATTTTGACAAAAGTGATGACAAAAGTGATGATGTAATGATAATAAAATATCATATAATAAGCAGGCAGTCATGACGATGATGCACTGATGATGTGGCGATGATGCAATGATGATAAATGGTGCGGTTATAAATCAATGAAAAAACCCCTTAATTATCCACCATAATTACGTAGAAGACCAGCCATTAAAAATGATGACCTTCCTTCTCGCTTTTCGACATTCCCTTCTATATGTTTAGTCAATTTTTATTAAGTTCACTTTTTCCACCCCCTACAATTTCCAAATGATACTCAATAATTTTTTGGTGTGTATTTGAATTGAAGAGTGAATGCCATGTGGCATAAAACTGTTGAGGTTATGTGTCTGTCTGTTTTTTTCAAATTCTTCCATCCATGCATTGGCTGGTTGAATGTATAATTGGATGTTTATAAGAAGCATCCTTTTCAGGCACTTGTTGAAGAGCTTGTAACGACCTAACGTGATGGTATCTTGAAGGTGCCGTAGGGCCAACAGGAGGGTATACTGTAAGTATTATAAGGACGATATAAGTGTAATGTGGGTTGAAATCAGAGTTTATAAGAAAAGTTTAAAAACCTTACAACTTATTTAATGTTATCTAATATTATTACAAATATAATTCTGGATAATTTTGTTTTTTCAATCATTTTAACGAATTAATCAATGGATCACTAATTCAAACATGAACGTGTGCGTATTGAAAAAAACATATACAAATGTACACACACACACACTCACGCACAGGTACACACACACGCACATACACGCATACACGCACACACAACGTGGACAAACGATGCATCAAGCAAATTGGATTGTTGAATTTCTGCGGAATTAAATGCACGGAACACAAGGAGCCCACAAGGTGTTTTATATGATTATATAAATACATGCATACACACACATACATATATATATATATACATATAATATATATATATATTATGGTCTATTACATAATTTTTACAATATAAAAAGAAATAAAAAAAAGAAAAAGTGAGAGAAAGAGAGAGAGAAAGCAAGAATAAAGAAAAATATGTAAATATAAATATATATATATATAAATATATATATATATATATTTATATATTGATAATAATAATGATAATGATAATATGCTGCATGGTCTTTTACCATCATATATATATATCGCGGTTATACATAATGATATGTCTGAACATGTGCCTAAATTTTTAACTGCGAAACTGGCCAGAAAGTCTTCATCTTTAAACATTTTATAATGCAGAAAGAATCTTTTTATTAGATGAAATCAACACAGGTAGATAATTTTTCATTTCGTTACTTGAAGATTCATTTAAACAAGTTATTAATAATGCTAATAAGATAACAAATTTAGTACAGCACTGTATTTTAGATTTGTAGAGAGCCTCTATTGAGGTCACTCCAGAGGCGCTAAATTGGTATTATTTTAAATAATTTATAATATTTCGAGCAAATTATGAATAAAAAAATTATTGTTTTGCTTTCTTTTGCTTTCTTTCTATTAAAATCACCGTGGAAAGACAACCTTTTTCATTCTCCACTAATCAAATTGACATGTACATCTTAACTAATTTGGCACCAAACTCCACACACACGCAACACACTCACACATACACACACACACTCACACATACACACACACACACATTTGACTGCAATGATAGCAGCATCAATTACAATTTGTTGCTTTTTGAAAATTTTAATTTATAAATTGCGAATTAGGTTCCAGAAAATAAATTAAAAGTGATTAAATAGTTTTTTTTTATAATTTTGGCATCTCAGAAATTTATAATCTATCACGTCTAGCCGTTTATAACGTTTCAAAACTGTTGATCATGTATAAAATCAGGTCAAATGCTATTTGTATCGTTATTCATTTGAAATGCTTGCAAAAGATTTCATTTGATGACCCGATCACTCAGCAGTAATGTTTTATCCTGATAGAAAAATGATATAAAATTTTTATTGATTCATCTTTTTTATTGTTTCATAGTTCATTTTTGAAATAAAGAACAATACACATGTCGCTAAAAATTTTTAATATTTGAATAAATTCGTTTGTTGAGTTTAAGAATGATTATTACACCAGTAGCCCACACCAGAGCATTAGTTTTAGCCCTCCTAATATATTTTGATCGATGGTCTTCAGCCGCACTGATTTAAAGCTCTATTTACATGCAAAACTATGAGGCACTGGTTTATCTGTCAAGGCGTTCATTAAATCCTTTGAATCAGCCGGAGTTAGCGGGAGGTATCATCAGTGGCATTAATGACGGTAGTAACATCAGCGTCGTCAGTAGCATCAATAGCATCAATAGTTTCGAAGAAGGTGGGGCTTTGTTTTAAAATTTCATTTCATCATATTAATTCTCATAATATGATATTATTCCTATTTTTGAATTTTTCCATTTTAAGAAATTTAAGATGAAATTAGATTATGAAAAGATGGATCGTTATGTTTGCGATGCAAAACAACAAAGGCAACATGACCATGCGCATATATTATTTTTGCATGCTTCAAATTATTTTTTTCAAAAGATGTGGTGCTGAAATGGAGATAACGGTCATTAAAGTGAGGTGATACTAAGTTGCTGATTCTTTAAGGAAATTTATTTGTGTTAACCAGAGTCAAAATTCAACAGATATTATTAGAAAATATAGAAAAAATCGGATATAACAAACTTGGTTACAACGTTCAACTAGATATAACAAACAGGAGTTTATGGTCCCAACATTTTATCGTGTATTTTTACCTAATATTGATAAATATGCTGTGTGCATTTCTGGATTCATTTGTATTGACCTGCACGTTTGTATTATTACATTATATCATCAGCATGTTTGTATCATTACACTGTTTGTATCATCACTTGTTTGTATTATCAATGAGTTTGTATCATAACATTATGTTGTCAACATGTTTGTATCATCAACGTGTTTGCCTCATCAACATGTTTATATCATCACATGTTTGAATTTTAAATAAGTTTGTATCATTACATTTTGTTACCAACATGTTTGTATCGTCAGCAGTTTGTATCATCAACATGTTTGTATCGTCAACAGTTTGTATCATCAACATGTTTGTATCGTCAACAGTTTGTATCATCAACATGTTTGTATCGTCAACAGTTTGTATCATTAAAAGTTTGTATCGTCAACGTGTTTGTATCATCAACATGTTTGTATCGTCAACTTGTTTGTATCATCAACATGTTTGTATCATGACACTGCCTCATTCAACAGATATAAGTTGTTGCGTAGCATAAAACTCGCTGTGGGTGGCACCTCGCTTGACATGATGCGATGAAAATAAAAAGAAATAGTCGCAAACGTCAGATACATTAGACAAATTTGTTGTTTATCTGCAGCACGACCTCCAAGAGAGCTTTCGCGCTTTTTCGCGCCTCATTTCTTGATGGGGTCGAAGTTGTGCATGCGTGTATGTTTACACACGTATGTGAGTGTGTGTGTGTGTGTGCTTGTGTGTGTGCTTGTGTGTGTGTTTGTGGGTGTGTGTTTGTGGGTGTGTGTTTGTGGGTGTGTTTGTGGGTGTGTGCTTGTGTGTGTGTGCTTGTGTGTGTGCTTGTGTGTGTGTGTTTGTGGGTGTGTGTGCTTGTGGGTGTGTGTTTGTGGGTGTGTGTTTGTGGGTGTGTGTTTGTGGGTGTGTGCTTGTGTGTGTGTGCTTGTGTGTGTGTGTGTGTTTGTGGGTGTGTGTGCGTCTTTGTGAGAATGTATGTGCGTGGTGCAGATTCGTATGCGTGCATTGATATGTAAGGTCATGTTGTATGTGTGCTAAGGGTGTTTATAAGAA